CCTTCCTTCCTTCCTTCCTTCCTTCCTTCCTTCCTTCCTTCCTTCCTATTGTTCTTTCTTCCTTCCCTTTTTGCGTTCTTTCTTTCTACTTGTGTTTTTTGTCTTTCTTTCCTTCCCTCGCTCGTTCAGCTAAACTGCTAGACGGTAAAAATCTGTCTCACCAGTCCCAACAGAGAAGATCTCCGATTCTGATTTTAAATGCAAAGGATTTAACGATCTCAAATAAAAATGCTCTTACTGAGAAGGTCAAGAGTCTCACTGCAGAACTTAAAAAGCAAATGATTTACTGGTATGCCTGGAACAAGTTCAGACATGTTTAGTTCAAATATTTTTTAAGTGCATATGTTTTTGCCAGATGATGAAACACTTGGTGGCTCTGTACATCAGCCATCGGCTGCATTGATTTCTAATAATCAGCTGTAGGGAAAGGGCAGCACGGTGGCACAGTTTGTAGATCTGCCGTCTCTCAACGAGCAGGTCGCCCCAGTTCAAATCTCGACCGGGAGCCCTTCTGGGTGGAGTTTACATGTTCTCTCCGTGCATGCAAGGATTTTCTCCAGGTACTCCGGTTTCCTCCCACAGACCAAAAACATGCATGTTAGGCTGATTGGTAACTCTAAATTGCCCCTAGGTGTGAGTGAGAGAGTGAATGGTTGTTTGTCTCGTTTGTCCCTGTTATGGACTGGAGACCTGTCCAGTGTGTCCACCGCCTCTCACTCAGTGACTGCTGCACATGGACACCAGAGACTCACGTGAACAGAAAAGGAAGAAGTAGACGATGTATGGATGGATGGTGTTTAAGGCAACAAGTATTTACAGGAAAGAAAATCTCAACTAGATTATTTAACAACAACAAAATTAACCTAAATTATAATTGACTGGACTTTTATTTTCTCCATCCATCCATTATCTTTACCCGCTTATTCCATTTTGGGTCACGGGGGTCGCCGGTGCCCATGTCCAGCAAGCACTGTGCGAGGGGCGGGGTACACCCTGGACAGGTCGCAAGTCCATCACAGGGACACATAGAGACACACGAGACAAACAAACATTCACTCTCTCACTCACACCTAGGGACAATTTAGAGTTACCAATCAGCCTAACATGCATGTTTTTGGTCTGTGGGAGGAAACCGGAGTACCCGGAGAAAACCCACGCATGCATGGAGAGAACATACAAACTCCACCCAGAAAGGCCCCTGGACCGGGGTTTGAACCAGGAACCTGCTCGCTGAGAGGCAGCAGCTCTACCTGTTGCGCCACCGTGCTGCCTCTGCGCTACCGTGCTGCCTCCTTTTATTTTCTATATGTGTGATTATAATGACAATTCCATTAAGTTAAAACAATTGCAGTCATAAAAAATAATGCAGAAGTGAGAAAATAAATAATGTAAAATTGGGGAAATAGTGACCAATATTTTTAAATGAAGAATGGTTCAGGTAAGAAGGCATGATGACAAAAAAGGAGATCACCATTATTAAAGGTCTTTTTGTTTGGCAACATGAATGATCAGAACCAGTGTTCTGGTTCCTTCTCACGGTCTCATACCTGTGTGGTGGCCCATTTAAAAATTAAAGGCCTCGTGAAGCAGTAAAAAAGGACATCCAGGAGCCTCAACAAGTCGGACTCAGACCTGACCAGGGGCGAGTTGATGTCCAGACAGTAACTCATGGCGTCATGGCTCCCTGCATGAACATGAACAGAATAACACATCCAAAAATAGAAAACTGGTTTGGCAAACAATGATTCTTAAAGCTGCCGGGGCTTGATGGAATGAAGTTGTTCATGTTTCTTCTTTTTAATCGACTCAAACGTCCTGAAGTGCATAGTGGATGATTGTTATATTGCATAAAATAAGCAACAAAACCTTGAGTTAAGGTTTTAAGAGCAAAAGGATGGCATGTGAGTGTGTGATCAAGAGAACCCAAACCTGTTTGTCTTGTGTAGCAAAATGAAAAATGTCAGCCTTTTAAAAGAGATTGGAAGATATGAGCTTTGTTTCTGCCAACTTCACCCATCTTAATACAATGACTTTAGTTAAAATTGCCAGAAAGAGTTTGACCTATATGACATATTTTTAATGGACAAAGCGCATTTATGAAATGCTCAAAGAAACAGAAACAAACAAAACAAAACTAGTTGTAACAAAACTAGAAGAGTGATAACAACTCCCTGCTCCTGATGAAAAATAAACTAAATGTAAAAAGTGAGAGTTGTAGCTACCAGGTATGGCCAGCTGAGTGAGAGGGATGTCCCACAGCTCCTCAGGTAAAGCTGACATCCAGTCCCGGCAGCTCAGCTCCATGTTGGACACTCTGAAACTCTGTCTGTGGAGGCTTTTTAAAAGTCACATGATTCATCTACTTTCTTTATCTTTTTCGTTTCAGCAACCTGCAGCAGCAGAGGCAGAAATGTGGAGTTTCCTGGTTTTCTGCTGACTGACAGCTGCAGCTGTGGGAGGGACATTTCAGTTGGAAAAATCTGCTGAGTGAGCACCAAGCTGCCTTGCCAGACCTACAATAATTTTTGTATTTGTATGATAATTTTGCCCTCAGTGCAAAGTATAATTATAACTCTACGTACAGTACAAGATTATATCATTTTATATTGAAACAGTCTCATTTTATACCGCATATTCAACCTTTATTTATACAGGTAAATCCCATTGAGCCTCGAGGACTCATTTACAAATATGAAATTATCTATCGCCCAGCCGTGTTGTGACTCAAGGTTCCCAGTTGATAACGAGACCCAAATGACACAAGACTCAAAAAGAAAAGTGCACAGTGTTATTTATTTACAGTGGTTCTTATATACATATATACATGTTGGTGGACTGGAACCCCAGGAAGAGGAAAGACATGGTCAGGATGGCCAGGCAAAGAGGTCAGTACAGGAAATTGATTGTGTGGTCTTGTTTCCTCCTTACAGGTGGATTTGCAGAGAAACTCTGTGTTGAGTCCAAGGTTTCCAGAGAGGTCCAATTCGACAGGCAGTTCAAGGCAGGCAAGTGACTGGAGGGCAAAAGCGCAGGGAACGAGACACAGGACCAAAAACGAAGCAGGACTGGATCCAAACAACAGGATGACAAAAAAGGAATCAATGCTCCAGCAAAGAGTAGAGCTTGACTGCAGCCTTATGTAGAGTGGGAGCTCATCAGGTAGATGACCGTCAGCTGTGGGTAATCAGCGGCCATCCTGGGGCTGCAGCAAGTGCTAATCTTACAGTACCCCCCCCCCCCTCCTCAAGAATTGCCCCCAGGAGACCTGAGGCGCTTCTCGGGGTGGGCCTTGAAGAAGGCAGTGATGAGGCTGGGATCCAAGATGAATGAGCGGGGAATCCATGAATGCTCCTCCGGACCGTATCCCTCCCAGTCAACGAGGTACTAGAATCCCCTTCCTCGGCATCACACATCCAGGATTGTCCGTACGGTGAAGGCTGGATGATTGTTGATCAACCGGGTGGGTGGAGGGAGGTTGGCAGGTGGGCATAGTGGGCTCTCTGAAACAGGCTTGACTTGGGAAACATGGAAAGTGGGATGAATCTTCAAAGAACTAGGGAGTTGTAATCTAACTGCAGAGAGGTTGATGATTTTGATGATGGGGAAGGGACCGATGAACCTGGGGGCCATCTTCCTGGGGGTGTCTTTTAGATGTATGTCTCTGGTGGAGAGTCATACTTTTTGACCCACCTGGTAGGATGGTGCAACAGAACGGTGGCGGTCAGCAAACTTCTTGTTTTGGGCAGCCGTGCGTAGGAGAGCCGCCTTGGCTTGGTGCCAGACACGTCAACATCGGCGGAAGTGGTGTTGAACGGAGGGTACAGTGATGTCTGTCTCCTGACTGGGGAACAACGGAGGCATGTAGCCAAAGGAGGCTTCAAAGGGAGACATACCTGTAGCTGAAGATTTGTGCGAGTTGTGAGCATATTCCACCCAAACCAAGTGTTGACTCCAAGCTGAGGGGTTGCGTTCCACAATGCACCGTAGGGTGGTCTCCAACTCTTGGTTACACCTTTCTGCCTGACCATTTGACTGGGGGGTGGTAACCGGAGGTGAGACTGACAGATGCCCCCAAAGTATTGCAAAAACAGCGCCAAGCCTGAGAAATGAATTGTGGGCCCCGGTCTGACACCACATCAGATGGAATGCCATGGATCCTAAAAACATGCTGAACAAGGGGATGGGCCGTCTCCAGAGCAGAAGGTAGTTTGGGTAGTGGAATGAAGTGGGCTGCTTTTGAAAATCTATCAATGACAGTTAGAATGGTTGTGTTACCTTCTGATGGTGGTAGGCCTGTGACAAAGTCCACTGATATGTGTGACCAAGAACGGCTGGGCGTGGGTAGTGGTTGCAACAGAACAGCAGGGGGTTGGTTTCCCATTTTATTTCTGGCACAGGTAGCACATGCTGCAACAAATTCTTTAACACCTTGGGAGAGCATAGGCCACCAGAAATTAGTCTTCATAAGCGACAACATGCGTGAGGTACCAGGGTGACAGGAAAGTTTATTAGTGTGTACCCACTCGAGTATCTTAGACCTCATGGTGGAGGGAACGAACAGTGTCCCAGGGGGTCCTGTACCGGGATCAGGTTCATCCTTATGAGCCTCGCAAATCTCTCTCTCAATAGACCAGGTGAGGGCCCCAACAATGCAGACGGGAGGGATGATGTTCTCTTCAGTGTCATGTACATCTGGGGAAGAAAACTGGCGAGAGAGAGAGTCAGGCTTGGTATTCTTAGAACCAGGTCTGAACGTCAAGGAATAATTAAAACGGTTGAAAAACAGCGACCAACGTGCCTGTCTGGGGGTCAGTCGTTTGGCGTCCCTCAAGTACGTCAGATTCTTATGGTGTGTCCATATTAAAAAAGGAAGTTCAGTGCCCTTTAGACAGTGGCGCCATTCCTCTAAGGCTAATTTTACAGCCAGAAGTTCCCAGTTGCCCACGTCATAATTCTGTTCCACTTGGGACAAGTGCCGGGAGAAGAAGGCACATGGGTGCACTTTATTATCGCTGGGAGACCTTTGGGACAGCACCACTCTTACCCCAGTATCGGATGTGTCTACTTCCAAAATAAACTGACGTTTGGGATCTAGATGACAGAGGATGGGTGTGGAGGAAAAAAGTTGTTTGAGCTTACCAAAGGCTGCATCTGCTTCAGCGTTCCATCTGAATGTCCTATTGATGTAGGTAAGCTGTGATAATGGAGCGGCGATGCGGCTGTAGTCCTTTATAAAGCGTCGGTAAAAGTTTGCAAATCCCAGGAAGCACTGTAATTGTTTCCTGGTCTCAGGAAATGGCCACTCCACCACTGCCTTGGTCTTCTCAGGGTCCATTCTATAATGTCCTTCCCCAAAGATAAATCCCAAAAAGGAGACAGATGACATATGAAATTCACATTTTTCACTTTTTACGAATAATTGATTTTCGTACAGTCTCTGAAGCACATCCTAACTTGTGTAGTGTGTTTGGTCTTATCTTTAGAGTAGATGAGGATGTCGTCCAGATATACCAATACAAAATTGCAGATAAAATCTCTTAAGACGTCGTTAACTAATGCCTGGAAGACAGCAGGAGCGTTGGTCAGGCCGAAGGGTATGACAAGTTACTCGAAATGTCCAAGGGAGGTTCGAAAAGCTGTTTTCCATTCATCGCCATGTTTTATATGGACCAAGTGGTAAGCGTTTCTTAAATCCATTTTAGTGAAGATAGTGGCAGATTGCAAGTGTTCGTGAATAGAGTCAATTAACGGAAGGGGGTATTTATTTTATATTGTAATGTTGTTAAGTCCTCGGTAGTCGATACATGGGAGAAGGGTCTTGTCTTTCTTGGTTACGAAGAAAAACCCCGCCCCCATAGGAGATGTGGACGGGCGAATAATCCCAGAGTCGAGGGATTCCTCAATGTAGGTCTTCATAGAATTTCTCTCGGGGCCTGAGAGGTTGTAGAGGTGACTGGCCGGTAGCGGGGCCCCAGGAAGAAGGTCAATGGAACATTCATACAGCCGATGGGGAGGCAGAGATAAAGCTTTCTGTTTACTGAATACTTGGGCCAGGTCGTGATACTCGGGGGGAATGGATGACAAGTCGATCTCTTCTGTGGGTGAATCAGGTCTGGAATGGTTAGAAATACCAGAACGAAGGCAGTGCTTAAGACACCTGTCGCTCCATTTCTCCACCCCCCGAGTTCCCAATTAATATGGGGGTTAGGATGTTGCAACCATGGGTATCCTAAAATACACTGGGTGTTGGGTGAGTCGAATATAAAAAAAATCAATGTATTCGTGGTGGTTACCAAAAGTTATTAGGCGTAGATTAGCTGTTTTAAAGTGGATTTCAGCCAGGGTCTCTCCAGAGACTCCTGCTATGGAAACAGGTTGAATTTCTTGAACAGGAAGTGAAAATTCTTGGACCAGATCTTGACTGATTAAATTTTGCTCAGCACCTGAATCAACCAAAACTACAACAGGGAAACGGTTTTGGTCGACTTGGATGACTGTGGGGAGTGTAAGTCTATGAAGGGGAGTGAAGGAGGAAGTGCCCACCAGTATTTCCATCTTTACCGGCGGGCATGTTCGTTTCCCTGAAATGGGCAAGATGCTACATAATGTCCATCCTTTCCACAATAAAACATAATTTTGACTCCCGACATCTTTGTCTTTCATCAGGTGTTTAACGTGTACGTCCCAACTGCATAGTTTCTGGTTCGGGCAGCGCTAGATGAGTCGTGGGAACAGGATTCATGTAACCCTGGGATTTGAAGTTCTCTAACACTGGCTTGTAGTTGCGAAACCCTCTTGATGGCGCGGCAAGAATGGAAGGGGCGGCCCTCTGAGAGTTGTAGTCCCGTTCTCTTTGTCATTCCCGAAAGCGTTCGTCCAGGGATATTGCTAAATTGATTAGTGCGTCAAAATTAGACGGTTCATCTCGTGCCGCAATCTGGTCTTTGATATACTCCGACAAGGAATTTAGAAACGTACCTTGCAACGCTCTCTCGTTCCAGCCAGTCTGTGCGGCGAGAATGCGGAACTCAAGGGCATGCTCGAATACAGGTCGCCGGCCCTGACGTAATCCCAGCAAACGCTTCTCTGCGTTGGGTTGTTGCAGCAGCCGATTGAAAATCTTGTGGAACTCGGTGAGAAGATTGTCGAAAGAAACAGTATCCATGTCGTTTTGGTTTAGAAATGAAGTTGCCCACCGAAGAGCATTACCTTTGAGTTGACTGGAAAAGTACGTGATCTTAGCGATGTCTGTGGAGTAGCGCTGAGGGGCCCCCTTAAAAGCAAGTTTGCATTGGAGGAGAAAGCCTTCACATTGATCAGGGTCCCCGGAAAAAAGCTCTGAAGGTTTGACAAACAGTTCGTTAGTTGATGTACTTACGGGGCTATTATCGGTGGGACTCATTGCTGGTGGAGCAGCTGGGACTGTAGGTGGAGAGGGTGCAAGTCTCTGATTAATAGAACAAATCATTCCTCCAAGCTCCTGTAAGTTAGACTGAGTCTTTTGTTGTTGAACTAAGACTTGTTTAAACATTTCTTCAAGTTGGTAAATTCGCTCAGCTTGAGAAAAGGATGAAGCTTGTTTGTTCATGGTCTCATTCTGGGTCTTGTTTGGCTGGAGCATTTCTGTTGTGACTCAAGGTACCCAGTTGATAACGAGACCCACACGACACAAGACTCAAATAGAAAAGTGCACAGTGTTATTTATTTACAGTGGTTCTTATATACATATATACATGTTGGTTGACTGGAACCCCTGGAAGAGGAAAGACACGGTCAGGATGGCCAGGCAAAGAGGTCAGTACAGGAAATTGATTGTGTGGTCTTGTTTCCTCCTTACAGGTGGATTTGCAGAGAAACTCTGTTGAGTCCAAGGTTTCCAGAGAGGTCCAATTCGACAGGCAGTTCAAGGCAGGCAAGTGGCTGGAGGGCAAAAGCGCAGGGAACGAGACACAGGACCAAAAAAGAAGCAGGACTGGATCCAAGCAACAGGATGACAAAAGAGGAATCGATGCTCCAGCGAACAGTAGAGCTTGACTGCAGCCTTATGTAGAGTGGGAGCTCATCAGGTAGATGACCGTCAGCTGTGGGTAATCAGCGGCCATCTTGGGGCTGCAGCAAGTGCTACTCTTACAAGTCCTAAACACAATTAGCAACTTTTTCCAAGTATGTATGTCTGCAGACGAATAGATGTTCCCAAAGTAAGGTGTATCCCAAGGGCCACACCTGACTGGACAAAAAACAAAACAAAACAAGACATTACTAAAGGACTACACCTGATCGGATGAAGGTATCAGAAGATTTATGTATTAAGCAAGTATAACCTGAGTATAACGGCAGGCAGATTGTGGTAGCTGGTTCGACATTAGCGGCATCTCCATAACTTCTTCTTCTGCCTCTCTTAACACAGAACTTCCAGTTATATTTCAAAATAAGATCAACATAACGTAAGAAGGGCTAAATGTTTGTTTTTTAATACCTAGTGTTGCCGTTTATGGTCACAGCATGAAATACCGGCTCTTTTATTCCCAAGTGGAGAGAAACACACTGACACAAATAACGATGAGAATACTGAAGTTTTTACGATTTACTCCTGACAAGGCAGGAAAAGTTACAGGTTTCAGCGCTGAGGCTTCGATCCAAACCACCCCGGGATGATCTCGACGGCTGACACCCAGAACACAGGGAAACACAAGTATATATAGGTTCTAGGCTCTGTCCCTCACAGAGTCCCAGAGCGCGGTCTGCGTGTATCAGTAAATTTCCTATGTGTGACCATGTAATGGTCTTACCTGCTTTCTTTTTGGTGATTCATTGTGTGGTGTTCTTATCTCAGTGTGTGTGTAAGCAACAGCAATAAACAACTCCAAATAAGGAACCAGCCCAAAGGCCAAAAACTGACAACGATGGTCAGAACTGATTTCATTTGATTTTATCGGTTCTGAAGCAAAAGCAAGGTTACAGTCTCAGAGCAGAAAAACAAGAGATCAGGTCTTATTAATAATGCCCCTTTTCCATAGTACCTTTTAGTACTGGTACAGCACGGTTCAGCTCGGCTCGGTACGGTACACATTGTTGTGTTTCCATTATAATTCAGTACTGGTTCCAGTGGGCGGGGTTCAAATTGACATCACTTGCCTTACCAGTTGGTGACAGTAAGACCTTGATCTTGACCTTGGGTTCAGTATTTTGATGTTTCTGGTAAATAACAAAAAATACAGATTATTAAATGATTGAATTAATAATAATAATAATAATAATAATGCATTTTATTTGTTAGCGCCTTTCAAGACACCCAAGGACACTTCACAACATTAAAAACACAAAATAAAATAATAAAAAATGGCTATAAAGACATTAAACCAAGAATCCAAAAAAGTTCTATCTGGTCCTCTGGACATTCAAAAACTGGAGACCCCATAGCACACCCATGTTTCTGCATATAATATTGCTCCCCATATGTGAAGTAGGTTGACTGCAGGCACAGTTTCAAGAGTTGACACAGTTGTTCTGTGGAAAGCGTGGTCCTGCTGCTCAGAGTGGTGTCTCCAGTTATTCCTATTGTTGCCAACCTGTACATGGAGGTAAAAAAGAGAGTCTTGACATCATTTTCAGGGACACCACCAAGTCATTGGTT